GGGAGGGTCTCTAAAATTTTATAAAGTGAATTTTCGAGTTTTGAACATTGATTCGGAGTCGAATTTGGATGAAACTAGTATGGTTGGACTCATAATTGAATGAGTTGTCGGATTTTATAAGTTTTGTCGGGTTTCGAGTTACGGGCCCAGATTTGACTTTTGGGTTCATTTTGGGTTTTTGATTAAAAATTTAACCTTTATTGATTGGGTTTGTTCCTTTAGTATTATTTGATGTATTTGAGTTGCTTCTGGCTAGTTTCGAGCCGTTCGGAGGCCGGTACATGCGAGATGGTATTTTTGGAGATCGTTTGTCTTGCTCAGTATTGGATTCGACTTGTTCGAGGTAAGTAACACTTCTAAATTTGGTGTTGAGGGTATGAAACCTTAAATTACGTGTTATGTGATTGATGTTGAGGTGATGCACATGCTAGGTAGCGGGCGTGTGGGAATGCACCGTGTGAATTGTGATTTAATCGATTCCATGGAACTGTGTAGCTATCTTATATGAACATTTTTACTGTACTCTATGTGTTAGAGCACATGAGCTGTAATTGATGCTAGAAATCATGCTTAGGCCATGTGCCGGTATTTTTGGGACCCATAGAGGTCGTATTATTGTTGAATTACTTGTTTAAATTTACAATTGTGAACTCAGTCACATCTATCATTTGCATATCATAGATCAGTCTCTACTGCCTTCCATTGATACAACATATCATCATGACGAGCTGATTTTCATGACATTGTGAGCCCGAGAGATTGAAGATATTAATGATTGAGTGAGGTCAAGGGCCTGATTGTGAGTAATAATTAAGGGATCAGGTTGCAGCTACAACATATTTTTATTTACTTATTCCTGGATTTGGCTTACTATAACGCTTGGGCTGAAGGAGCCCCTCCGGAATCTGCACTCCCACAGTGAGCGCATTGGATATTATATTGGGATGGAGTTCTCGGGCATGGAGCTGCCCTATATATTTACATTTGGGATGGAGTTTCATAGGCATGGAGTTGCCCTATACATTTATATTTGGGTTGGATCTGCCCTGTTCAGTACTGAGTGCCTGAGTGTGTCAAGTGATTGAGCATGATGAGTGGAAAATATGAGGCAGTGAGGTCGAGTACTTTGAGAGTGTGAATACAGGAGTTCATCACTGAGATGCATTGCATTTGACATATGTACTTGAGATACATGCATAGAGATGCATTTCTTTCTGCTACCCTGTTTTTGGTGACATTCATGATTTTACATGTATATTGGCATATATGTATAGAGATGTATTTCCCTTATGCTATCTGAAAAATGAAACATCTTATTTATTGTTGAAAGGTTTTTGGGAAGAATCACAGTTTTCAAACTTACTTATATATTTTTTGGGATTTTCGGTGAAAGATATAGGATCTACTGTTATACTTGAAAAACATGCCTACTTTTCGTAACTGAGAACGAGCTGAGTTATTTCTTGTACCATCTTTATTATACTGTTATGAACTGTTGCTAATTGTTGGGGTTGGACTCTGACCCTTGTCCCAGCTCGTCACTACTTTCAATCTAAGGTTAGGGTTGTTACTTATTGAGTACATATGGTCGGTTGTACTCATACTACACTTCTGCACCTTGCGTGCAAATGTTGGATGCTGATGTTGTTGCGTACGGCGGGAGTTGGATTGGAAGATGTACTTGCGTTCCAGTTATGACTATCACTCATCCTTGGTAGCATTAGATTCGAATTATGTTCATTTACATCTCGAACAGATATTGTAATTATTTCAATTCAGTCTTGTAAAAATCTAAATCTTAGAAGCTCATGATTTGTACTACTAGTCCTTGGGGATTCTTTGTATAATAGTTCAATTGTATTGTCATTTCTTCTCTTAATAAATATCATTTGTACTGATTTATTGTTAACTAGCTTACCTAGTGGGTTGAGTTAGGTGTCATCACGGCTAGTTGAATTTTGGGTCGTGACACCATTTATATTTGAAGTTTATTAAACTTGTGCAGGTATACTAAATTTATGTAGCCTATAATCACACCATCAACTTTTTATAATTTTTAGTGCTTAACTATGTAAATTAAATAAAAAAATTAAGAAATAAATAAGCCCACTAAGGACCTCCGATGCGCCCTGTCCCGTTGTCTTAGTTAGTGGGATGGGACGAGCCGAGAGGTTCGTCCCGCTGATCTCGACCTGCTAAGGTCCCGATGCCTCTTATCCCGTTAAAAATCGACCCATCCCGTCCCCCTAAAAGCATCTCGTTCCGTTCCGTTTGACAACCTTATATAAAATAATATATAATTTTTTTTAAAAGTAAAAAGTTAACCAAGATTTTAATATCCTAGACTGAGTTCTATCCATAGATTAATTTATGGAGGGAGTCAATACGCAAATATTGAAAACTTGAAACCTTTATATATTTAGTTTTTACCCAAAAAACCGATCGGGAAACCTCTAGCGTGCCCTCTGCTTGTCCTGCAGACTCTTGAGAACATTTCCACTTTCTCTCTCTCTAACTTTTTGAGTTTCAATGGCGGCGAGGAATGCATTGCTGAAGTACCTGAGAGTGGAAGCTCGGCCTGCAGCAGTGGGAAACACCAGAAGGCTCATCGGAGCAGCATTTACCCAGGTATTCAGACGCCATTTCTCGGAGGAAGTGAGGGGCTCCTTTCTCGACAAGTCTGAAGTCACTGATCGTGTTATCAACTGTGTCAAAAATTTCCAGAAAGTTGATCCTTCCAAGGTAAAAATATCGTTTCATGATTTGCTTTTTTACCTTTTTAGGCAATGGCTTTGAGCTAGAAAATTAGGGTTTTTATTGGGTTTTAGTGAAATACGTTTTAGGTTCATGTTTTGTACGATTGCTGGTCCATTTATGTTTACCGCTGTATAAGTCGCTATGATTTTTTCTTTTTGAGCTAGAAATGAAATGATCTACGTGTAATTTTCACTCATTCTTTTTGGTGAGGAATTGAGGATTAATGGATTGTTTCTTTTAGAATACGGCAGTTTTGTAATAGAATTGATTTGGAAAGCTGGGGAAATAAACTGGATAAGTATGATGGAGGAAGTTGGGAAGTAAGAATGCGTATGTGTCCGGTTGGTAGTTGTTCTTAGTTCAAGTTTGGGAACCAGAATTGGGAAGTCAAAAATATTCTCACTTATATGTCCAAGTATTGACCTGGAGGACTTAAGATGTTTCTTTCTTCGTGTCACATCATAGGCCTTATGCTTTTACCATGTATTGGACGCTCTTCCTCCATCATACTTTCCAGCAACGTTCTTTCTGAATGAGTATGATCTTTTAAACTCGTCACGAGCTATGATAAATCCAATAATTATCATTCATATGATGCAGTATTGTCTCCTATTTTCATGTTCCTATTTTTCATATGATTTACGTGGTGATACTAATATTGTCTCCTTTTGTCTTTTTGTTTTCTTGAGCCGAGGGTCTTTCGGAAACAACCTCTCTACTCCTTTGGGGTAGAGGTAAGGAGTAGAGGTAAGGTCTGCGTACACACTACCCTCCCAGACCCCATTAGTAAGATTTTACTGGGTTGTTGTTATTGTTGTTGTATGATGCAACAAGTTGCTGTTAAAAGTATGTGCATGTGGAGGCTGGCATTCAATCAACTAATGACCTATCCAAATCATCTATATAGAAACTAATCTTCAGTAGCTTCTACATCTTGTTGTGTCAGTCGCTGTCTTCTGGAACACCTACAAAGCATCAAATATAGAACACACAAGGTTCCATAGTTGTGTACTGAGTTTTCAATAAGTGAGCTGTGATTTATGTTTTCCACCTCTTCTTTTCACACATCAAGATTCTCCTTTCCTTAAAACTGTCTACCAGTCGTATTGCGTCCCTCATGGCACACCAAAAGGAGCCACCTTTTAAGTGCTCTTACATTTGATATTCTCTGCCACACCTTTCTTTTATCCCTTTCCCTTTCCTTGTAGCAAGATTTCACCAAGAATGATCTCACCCCCTTTCCATTCTGTTCCATCCTATCTTCTTGTTTACCTTACACGTCACTTGTTGAGTGTTTGAGTAAACTCCTAATCCCGACCATGAAAAGCTCTTCTAAATTTACATCTCATACGAATCCCTGGCTGTTCCTTCTCAAATAGTTAGGTATCATAGTCTCTATCATTCACCAAACTATACACCTGTGGAAACGTCTCCTATCAATTTGTTCCTCCACGCCACACATCTTCTCAAAGATGATCGAGTCTGCTCACCATTACTCGCAGTACAGTAAATGTGCTTAAAGAACGTGTTTTCCCCCTTCATGACACCCTCTCTTATGCTACCCAGTGGGACTTCATAACTTCCTCAGTAAACCGTGTCTTTCATGTTGCTCCATGTTTAAGATTCTTCATAAACCATGTTTCTTAAAGCAAATCTCAGCAAACACTTCTGCAAGAGTGCTGTAGTAAAAGTAGATATTTCTCGGATCTCTACCCTTTGTTTCTGGGAATTGTTATGTTTCTCCATTCTACCTAATGATACTTCTATTCCCCCCCCCCCCCCCCCC